AGGCGCCTGAAAATGAGAGAGAGCACGTACGCGCGTATCAAAGGAGCGTGAATAAGAGCACGAAGCAGGCGCGAAGTGCCAGGGTGAAGTAATAAAAGGGGTCGCAGCTAGGCAATCTCGTCGAAACAAACGTTTTAATCCGCGCGGCTTTCCGCCGCCACCTCTCTCGCTTCCATTCTCGCGCGAGTCGAGGGCCTCTTCGCGAATATACCAGATGGAGTAGCGGGATACCGCGCGTGGGTGTCGGCGACGACGTATAATTTAAGGCTGCGAATGCAACGATTCAATTTCACAAGACCGCGGAGCAGCCGGCTCGGCGTAGTACAAGCCGGGGAGACCAACTTTGTCGCGGTGCCGGGAGGAAATAATCTTCTGATTTGTGCCGTGAATAAAATCGCACGATTCATACTCGTCCGCGGCCGCGATTCTCGCGTCTTATCGGCGCACACGCTGAGCCGAGGACGATCGGAAGTCTAACGTCCCCGCACGCACTTCGCGCTCGCAATGTTGTCGAAAATATTCACTCGGCTGCAAGCGGGGCCGCCTACAAGCGGTCTTAAATTCGTGTCGAGCCTATTCAGATACCGGACACATTAGTTCCAAAACGGCCTCGCTCGCAAATGCGCAAGTTAATCCCGAAATCGCACAAAAGCCTGTAATAATCGTGTCGCGCGTCGCGCTTAATTTATTCACGTAGAAAATAAAGTACTATCGAGTACGCGTGATATTTTATTTTCTACGTAAACTAATTGATGATATCATATTTATCATTTTCTATGCAAAGCGACGTTCTCTACATTTAACGAATGTGGGGGGGGGGGCAATATTTCAATCGACGGAGAATATAAGTCAGCCCTCGCCGAATCCGCTGAATCTTACCGTCGCGAAAGATCATACATACGCGCGTGCGATCGTGGACAAACGACCGAGAACGAATTCGATCGGCAATGGATTCGATCTAACGTGAGAACCGGACCAGTCGCGATCAAGGTGAGGCCGAGGAGGAGATATTCAGGGCCGAGAAGAAGGATCATGTCATACACACAAAGACACGCCAGCGCACGCATGCCGACTTGTACATTTCTACACGCCGACGTATGTACATACATATTTCTATATAGATACATCTGTATACACGTACGCTGCGACGCGTGTGTGTCTATATGTGTACACACCGGGGCCGCTCCACCTCGGCCGGGGCTCATATAATTGCTGGCATCCATAACGCTGATGTATTTATGGCATTAACTCGCCTCTTTCTCGTACGCTGGCCGCCCCCGACCTACCCCGCCGCGGCCATGCCCGTCATGCAACCACAAGTAGAAATAATTGGTTGAAAACAGCGCGCTCTCAGGCGGCAATATATCCAGCTTACTCCCCGCTGTCGCATCGCTTAGATCACTTCCCCGCTCACCAAAACTCCCTGCCAGCCAGCCCGCCTCCTCCGTTCTCCAGCCTTCCTCTTCTCTTCGGGGCCGATTCTCTCTTCTCCCGCGACTCCCCCCGCGGCTGTTTCTCCGACCTCCTCCCCGCTACCGCGTCATCGTTCTCCACCTTCATTTCTTCTTCTTCTTCTTCTTCGTCTTCTTCTTCGTCCTCTTCATCTTCCTCCTCCTTCCGCCGGAGTCACCGCCGTCTCGCCTCGCCCCGCTCATTTGAATAGCCCTTATTTATGAAAATTGAATTGAATGCTTCTCATTTATGAAGGTAATTGGTACCTGTCACGAGGTCTGCTGTAGGATATCCTACTTTATACGCGGATAAGCGACGATAATTATTCTTGCAATTGAATTTATTTCTATAAGTCTCGTTTCCTACGGCCGGGACGGCGCGAACGGTCATCGATACACCGATCGTTCAACCCCCGTCGCGACGCGCGGCGTCGCGTGCTAAGAACCATCCGTCGCGGATGCGCGAGGGAATGTCGATTTTTCCGCGATCTATGAATGGACGTCCCAGGGTGGACGACGACGAACGGGATCCTAGACGGAGTCCCGCGAGCGAAGTCACATCGTAGCAGGCGTGCAGGGAGAGAGAAAGAGAGAGAGAGAGCAGGACTGCCACTAATCTCCCACAATTTATCGCTGCGTAACCGGTATTTACCGGTATGTTCGAATAATTAACGGCGCGTAATCAATCGCCAATACTGTCGCGATAATTTATTGCTGCCAGTCGAAGTTTAGCATAATAATAATCGGCGAGCGCATATTTGTGTTACGCTTTCTATCTTTTTATCCAAAGAGCCGCGCGATTATCGTTATCTAATTTCTCAGAAATCCGTAAGAATTTTTTTTTTTATCACAACTAATTTTTTTAGGCACGTGCGCTATGACTATTATTTGTCAAAAGCCGTTGCGATGTATTAACTGGCAACGGAGTTAATCAACCAACCTTTTCTCAACAACGGCGCAATAGTTCTCGACACGCAACTCGGTTCTCGTATTCGTGCTTCTTTATCCATGTCGCTATCACTATCGTTATTAGTTAGCCGAATCGTGCGGTGCATATAGGTAGGTCTTGTTAGACTATTATCGATTCACGAATTCTCAATAGCCGCTGGCGGAACTGAAGAGAAATGAATAGCGATGAGCAAGAGACTGAAGATTAAAGAACCGAGAGGCGAGCTTTATAGGATTACTACATCAATATCAACTCGTTGAGATATCAATTCCGGAATATAACAAAGTGAGAATATGAATAAGTAAAAGTGGAGTACACGAAAGCAATTAAGAAATTAGATTTTTCGCAAGACATGCTTTTTTATTTACTGTAATACAAAGTATAAAGCTGTTTGCAGAATAAAATAAACGTTAACGAGTGTCGAAAAACAGACAAGTATAATTTACTTCTCCATAATTTTTTCATAACTTTGTCGCAATGCACACAGCTGTCAAGAGAATCCAAATTATATACATACATTTTACTTTACTTTCGTTTTATTTAAATTTTTCGGATTTAAATTTAATTCGCTTATCGCTGAAACAATGTGAAAAGTGAGTTATCTTAATACGCAGCTGTTTCTTGATGCCATCCCTCGTTAATTTATACGCTGCAGAAACGCGTTCGCGCATTTTTCTGATTGCCGACGATTGCGGTATTTCTCTGCGTTCGCGATCGTAACGAGGTATCATGTTGCAGGGCGATCAAAGGAATCGGCGCGTATACGCGCGTCCATAATTTTAATACCGCTGCCATCGCCTCTGATTGCCGGCGTAGGTCCCGCCGTCGTTCCTCGCGGACGAAGGGACTCTTCCCGTAACGGGAAGAATTTCCTTGGGACCGTACCGACCGTATCGCTGTCACGTAACGCGAAAGTTATCGTTCTCCGATTGCCGCGTAATGCGTCTCGACGACGAAGGCGTCCAGTTTTATCGTCTCGTGTTATTAAAACCGCCCGGTAGCGCGGACATGCGCGATTAATTCCATTGTCTGCCATAAAAATACCATCGGCCGACCGCGTAGCTGGCGAGACGGTCTGCTAGGAAATCGCGCAGATCCGTATTTCGGATCGCAGATCAGTTCGATATGAGTGATCGCTGCAATCTCCGGATTCTCACCGTTTGCGTATGTATATTCCCGCTCGATGCCTCGACGCAATTGAATTCTACAAACGGCGGGTTATAAACAATAGAATTGGACGGGGAACATTTCCGAAGATCGCTCGATCGTGTTATTTTAAAACTCGTGACGATTCACGGCGACCTAAAGTTAAGAATGCGCTTTGCCAGACAGTAAAGATTAAGTCAAAATATAAATTGAATGTCCTTTGTTGCATCGAGAGGATGCGGACCGAACGAGCGCAGCGCGATGATGTTTCACGAATCAATTTTAAAACTAGCCAGCGGAATTTGACGTTATTGAGGCTGACGTTAATGTGGCGAACGTGGAAAATCATCGGATCTGATATCGTTCTAAAATTATATCATAAAACGTAGCGGTAAGCTTAATCAACGGCTGTTTATGTCGCGTAATATGTTTCTATACGACTCTGGAATATTTCCGTCTCGGTCGGATACGGCCGGTCTTATCACAAAGTACGCGGCGTGCTGAGATTAAGTGGAGGCCGGAGAGATGGACGCGAATCATCTTGCCGTAACCATCGCGCAACAATTCCGCGTCTCCGCGCTCGCAGCTCGCGCGAATTTATTTCTGATTGCCAGTCTCTGCGGCAGTCGCGGTATTTACGGGCAATCCGTATTATTTTTCTGTCACTTTTCCGGCGTATCGTAAAACACTCTATGAGAACGTACAGCTGCAGATTGGTGTCATCTTTTTGCGAACTCTCGTCCGGCGCGTTCCCACGGAGATTACTCGGCGGAATCGTCTACGCGGTCAAACTAGTTTCGAAGACAGTCAATACGCGCAAACAAATTGGACGTTCATCTAACGCGTGGAAAATTCTCCTGATTGATCACACTGGAATCAATAACGTTATTTCCAGATCGGTATTCAAATTGGCATGATAAAGTAAACGCAATTAACGTAATATCTTTTTATATTATTTACACGTGTCTCTTCTATCAAGATTTATGTATTTTCGAAGTAGAAAAGGTGAATTATTTCCCTCCATTTCTTCCGACAGTCGCGGCCTCATTCACGATCGATTTTGTCAATGTCGTTCATTTCGAACCTTATTCAATTTCACTTCTACAGAGACAAACGCTTAAACCAACGAGAAGTTAATGACAATTAACAGAAATGGCCATTCTTGATTTTGCAGTCGAGTCCGCACCAACGATATTTCTCGAACGTGAAAATTGCGACCGCTGTGGTTCGTCGAGGAAGCCCACGATCGTCCCGGCGTCATCGAGGCTCCTCTACGTCATTAAGCACACCGGCGCGGCCGGTGTCTAATTAAGCGAGACATTAAGTGGGGGCGTTCGATAAAGCGGGTCCGTCCGATAAATTCAATTCGCCGGACAGCGGTTAATACCCGCGCGAGACGAGCGGGCTGAGGGGAGGAAGAAGGCGACCAAGATATAAACCGCGCATTTTTTCAGGAAGGAAGGACTCACTCCGCGAGATGACAGACTGGGCAGAAGAAATCGACGACGAGCGACGATGGACGAGAGATAGCGTCGAATTGAGGGGGGGGGGAGGGGGGGACGGCTTTCCTGTCCTCTCTCGCGCCTCTCCCCCCCGCCTTGCCCACGCCGTATAGAGAAGCGGAGATATGCAAACGTCTTGCCGCGCGACGGTTGGACATAACTCAGGCACACGTACGCGAGGGGTACGGCGACGCATACGGCCGCGGCGGTCTGAGGACACTATAAACCTCGATACCGGGCGAATAAAATCCCGGATTTACAGTCCTGATACCGTGAGCGAGACGGTCCTGTCCTGTCCCGGCGCTGTCCTGTTTGTCGCTGTCGCCGCGGTGTGGGTTGGCTCATCAGTGATGGCCGCGTCCCGCCAGTATCTTTTCCCTCGACACACAACCGGCGAGAGAGGCCGGCCAATCTCCGGACTCCGCGCGGCGCGTGAGATGCACGCCTGTACGCGTTTACATTCACGCGGCGCAACGAAGCGACACGCGAAAATCGACACGTCGGGAAATGTGTCGCTCTTGACGCAATAATGTCGGCTTCCGCCGCGCATTTGAAAGCTAGTTACGATTCAAAGTAATTGCAGAAATTGCGCGGATAAAGTCTGAAACATGTAAAGAAACGCCGGCGTGTGAGATCGGGAATGGAGAAGACGACGCGATAAACAATCGAATTCGTATCCGCTGATGCAGTTTTCACTTCGCGAGTCATTACGACTTTCCAAACTGATCTAATTAAAACCAGAAAGCGTCACATTACTTTCGATTTCATGTCATGTTTACGTCATTTGTCCGTGCTTTACTTTCGGTCTCGCTGGTGTGCATTTGTGACTTTTACAATACTTGGAGAAATCACGTCTTATCACTCCTCTCCGTGCGGAGCCTTGTTCGATACCATTTCAGGACCTCCAATAATCTATCCGCGCCATTGCGATAGGAGCTGTCAGCCCACACCCACACGCCGGGGTGCCGGCACGGCGAAGAGCGCCGGATAAGCGCAGGTGTGCCGCGCAAAATCGTCTGATCGACACGCTGAGTGCACTGATCTCGATGACCTTCATCGAGGGTTCCCCATTTGACGACGACGACGATACCGTGTTACTGGAGGCGCACGCTGCGAACGGATCCCGAAAGAGTGATCCCGAGAGGCTCTCAAGCCACGGATAATGGACTTTAATACTGACTCGAGCACTTGGCACAGATACGACCAGCTTGATTGTCATTGAAGCGAGGACACGATTCGCCGTAATCATCCGCGTTTAATTGGCCGCGCCGCGATCTCTGTGCTTTGATCACAGCTGCGGTACGCCTCCCTTTTAAAGTACGATTCCCGAAGTAGCTTCCGATTCCCTAATGTAAATTACATCCGATGATACCGTGGATTTTGCACAATTCGTTATCCGCAGTTGAGTGCATGCTGATTATTGCGGCTCGCAGAAGCGCGTCGACTAAGGCGGATATTATGTCTGAGGAAATATTAAAAAAAATTTTAGTGATAACAATTTTTTTTCATAATGTGCCTCGAGACATTTTCTCGACTTGCGCTTGTATATTTCACATAAGTAGAACTGACTTCAGAAAAAGTACAATTATATAAATATATATACAGTTTTATATAACGATTAATTTAAAATTCATTTTTACTACCAACGACATTTATGTATTTATGGAAGCAATTTTATTTACAATTATATAATATATAATAATCGATAATAAATCGATAATAAATCTACAGGTAAAGATTTTAAAGATAGGATACAAAGAAAAGATATAGTAATTTACATATCGAGTTTAAACTCTCGATTTCAATTCGATTTCGATAAATATCCAATATTAAGAATTTCGAGGCCGGCGTGCGGCGTTTGGTGGGGATTGTTTACGTCGCGCTTAGCTTGTGCGTTCCATATCCTCTCTCACACACCTTATGTATCCATACGCACTTGTTATTTCCTACATCACACATTCTAAATCGAATTTGAGGGAGAAAATGTAAAGCAAGCAGACTAAGCGCAATGAAAACAATCTCATCAAACGCTGCGAAATTCTTAACATTATAGCATTTGTTAAACATTTACCAAAATCGAGTTTAAACTCGATTTTGATAAATCTTCAATAAATATTTAATGTTAAAAGTTTTGAGACCGACTGCGGCGTTTGGTAAGATTATTTTCATTGTCGCGCTTAGCTTGCGTGTTTTATATCTTCTCTCCCCGATTCTGATTTGTAAGAATGCGTGTAGGAAACAACACACACACACACACATACACATACAATGTGTGTACGGTTAGATAGGGTCTGAGAGATATATAGAGCACGCGGATTTAGCACGACGAAAAGAATTCTACCAAACGCTGCGAGTCAGTCTCGAAACTCTTAACATTGACGCATTTATCGAACATTGAAATCAAGTTGAAATTGAGTTTAAATTCGATTTTGATAAATGTTCAATAAATGTTCTAATGTTAAAACTTTTGAGGCTGACTCGCGCGACATTTGGTGGGGGTTGTTTACGTCGCGCTTAGCCGGTACGCTCTACATCCCTTCTCTCGCATTCTTTCGGAATCGGTGCGACCTTGTCCTCGTTATTGTCCTGTTATCTTTCGCACGGCGGCACTTGTACGGGGCAAATTTTTCGGTGCGTTATCCTTTCCAATATTAGCACCTTTCTATTATTTTCCTAATTATCCTTCCAAATCAACTGCGATAATTCAAAATAACGTTATTATTTTCTAAAGAACTGATAGCCGATAGCTTTCGGGTTGTTATTCATTTCCAATGTTTAACAATTTGGATTTTCATTCCACGGACTTCGGATTTTCTATTCTCAATTATCGCTTATATACTTCACGTATTAGGTCACTTTACTGGCACTTGCTAGAATTATTCTTTCTTTTGGTTGCAGTAAGTAAAATGTATTTTTTCCCTCCCATGGGTACACCTTGTCGTGGTGGGAGGGCTCAGTACCCGAATCGTTTATCTTAAAGGGGAAGCTAACGTACCCAGACACAGCATTGCCACGAGTCGATCAATGGCTCTTATGTGGCAAACGCATGTAATGCGTTAAAGAAACGTTAAAGGATTCCATTGCCATTGAACACCAGCGGAGCAATTTTAAAGTACTTATATTTTTTTATTATTTGATATTTTAATAATAAAATAATAGTTTATATTTCTCATAACACAAATACTTTCAGTCTTTCTAACATTTACAATTATTTAAAATATTTATATTTATTTATACTTTTTTATTTGAGAATTCAATTTTTTTGTTAATAATATAATTATTTTTATTTTCTCAAATATTTTGAAGAATTAAAAAATTTAATACGTACCAATTTATTTTATAAAATATTCATGATTTTTAACGCAAGTATAATATAAACTTACTTTTGTATTTTGCAGATTAATGTACTTTCGAAAACGATTGTTATCAACAAGAAGAAGAGGTAAAGGAGACTCAGGAGCAACGTTTAGGTAATTAATCATATTTGTTTGTTATTTGTTATTTAGAAATTAAATTGTTTTAGTAATAACACAATTAATTTATCAAATTTCTCGAGAAACAATTAAAGAATTATAGAATTATTTGTTAAATATCAATTCTTTGGAGCATCAGAACAGTTTAAATAATAGAAAGTCGAGATATATTGATCATTTATCAATAATTAATTAATTAGATAATTTTTTTAAAATCTAAGACAAAATTTTATTATTATAGATAATAATATTATTCTCAGACACCACGAGTAGATTATTACCAGAATTTGATTTTTATTAATGATTTATATTTATAATAAATACATAGAAATATAACATTAATGTACAAACTTACAAAATATTTTATATATTTTCCAAATTGCATGTTCCAACTATGTAAATTTTAGTTTCTCATAACTAATATTCTATATGTAGTTTCGATTTTATATTAGCAAAATTTATATGTAATATTTTAATTTCTTTGCGATCTCCAGCATTGATTTAACATAAGAATCTTGTTTTAATGTAAATGTATTTTATAAACTATTGTGTCGCGCTTCATGAATCGTTATATTCGTTCCGCCGTAATTCCGTAATATAATAAAACGCGTGTCGGGAGTGCCGTTTAAAATGCCGTGCGATTTTCGTATTCGCGTCGCGAACGTGTGTGAATACTTTGAAGATTACTAAGAGGAGAAAAGGAGGCTCAGGAGGAGCATCAGGCGCTGGCGGAGCAACTTTACGGTGAGTTATAATTTATTTCTTATCTGTTGTTTGAAAATGTTGCTACATTAAAATATTCAAACGACTTAAAATATTCATTATTATTAGAAGTTTTTTGCATATTTATTATTTTTTCAAATATATGTATAGTGAAACTTTTTTTAATATTTCTTTTATTAGATATTTGCTTAGTTCAATGTGTGCAATTATAATTTCATAAATATTAATTATTTTGAACGCAGCTCTAATCTGGATTTTTTTTGTATTTTACAGATTAACTGTGCAGATCAACAGAACAGACAACTCCGCTGCTGCGCATCAATCGGTGAGTCAGTTCAATTTGTCTATTTTATTATCAAGATAATTGATCTATGATACATAATAAATACTCTCTATGACACATTGCAGACCATACAATGATTGTTTAAGAGTTTTATTCTCATGCATTTTTAAAGTATTTTAAATTCTGATGGAGGTAGACATTAATTTTTATAGAAAAAAATTATTTATATTATTTTGACGAATGATATTTTTTACCGTGCGCTTTATATGCTTTTTTTTTGTTAATACGTTTCGTATTGGCTTGATTTTATGAAACTTTCTGTTCGTGTTGTGAAATACATATGTACATTTATATATTATATGAGTTTATAGAGTACGTTATATAAAATTATAATTATTTCATTCTTATAAAAAAAATTTTAAGTGTTAAAGAACGGTGTAATATATTTATGAAACAAAAAATACATTAATTAACGACACATCTATTTATTATGCTTTTGGTTTGCAATGTGTTAAAAATTTGAATTAAAGAGTATGTAAATGTATCTACATTATAAGAATATTATACGAGGAATAGTTTATCTTGCAATATTTAAAACATTTTTTATTTTTATTTGAAAATCAAAAAGTCTATTTACTTTTTATCTTACCCTCGTATATGTGAATACAATAAATTATGATAGATTTTAATCTAGAATAAAGTAAATTATACAGTGTAAAATTTTAAATATAATAATATATACAAGAATATTATAAAAGATAAAATCATAAAAAATGTCATAGATTTATTCCACTCTTAAAAAAGGCATGAGAAGTCGATAGTCTAATGTATCGAAATCTCGAAAGTATCGAAGTGTATTGTTGCAGTTTTATCGCGACGCTGATTGGTTATCTCAATGTCATATGCGAAAAATATATTTTTACAGTTTATATTTAAATGGTTGTTAAGGCAATATTGATCATGTGCAAAAAATATATTTTGACAGTTTATATTTAAATGGTTGTCAAGGCAATATTGATTAGCAATTTATAAATGTTTCTATGACAATTGTTTACATTTTCTCAAGCTGTCAAGTTGTATTCAAATAAAAAAGGAATTTAAAAATATGTAAAAAATTAGGACGTTAATTATAAATTTTTTTGCAAAATTATTTAGATATTTTTTACTTGTATATTTTTTCTAATTACCAAATATTTGGTAATGGGAACTAAATAATTTCGTCCTAATTACCAAATATTTGGTAATAATTACTAAATCATTTCGTCCTAATTACCAAATATTTGGTAATAATTACTAAACCATTTCGTCCTAATTAATCATAAAATTATGGTTGGATCTACCACAATGGATTATGGTCGATCCAATTATAAAATTATGGTTGGATCTACCACAATGGATTATGGTCGATCCAACTATAAAATTATGGTTGGATCTACCACAATGGATTATGGTAAATCCAACCATAATTTTATAGTTGGATCGATATTATATATATGTACATTTATATATATAAAATATTATATTAAATTGCGCTTATTAAATTTAAAATTAATACATCGATATTATATATATGTACATTTATATATATAAAATATTAATATTTATACACATATATGTATGTGTGTGTATTAATTTGTCTATAATATATGTATATATATATATATATATATATATATATATATATATTATTAA